ACGGAGAATCATTCTTGTTAGACCATAAATAATAACTGGCTTTCGTAGCGAACCGTAGTATTAGTTAAAAATGACAACACTGCGAGATATTTCTAATATATTGACGTGCAGAAGATGCTTTCAGACATTGAAAATAGTTCATGTCGATATAATTTCGTGTGACGCATGCCATGTGTGTGAAATGTTTTGATGTATCAATTATTTTAATATTTTTGTTATGCATTCTATCTTTTAGTGACTGATTAAAAAATTCTAAGTCTAATTTACAGATAATATAACACTATTCCACCATGAAATTAATTTTTTTATGAATGAACTTTTTCTTGCACATTAGCAGATGTATAAAAGACGATTTTGAATCCTTCTGCATCACTTCGAAGCTTATTCAATAATGTGCGGGCGTGGTGTGAGTGTCGGTAGTTGTTATGAAATGCACATCCCCACCTTATGTAATGTTTTGATGGCGATGAATGCTTTTGAACTATATGCAAACATGTATTAATAAGAACCAAAAGCTTCACACTAATGACAGTTTTCTTCACTTGGTAGCGAAATCTTCTGGATCACGGAGAAATGTGTCTGAATAAGAACAACAATTTTCAGAAAAATGATTAGTATGTCAGGTTAGCAAAGAATTTCTTCTAGACTTTGACTAATATCTTCGGGTGACGAAAAAACTTTCTGGTGACTTTTGAATGTGTTGGATGGACACTATAAAAGTTTCTGAGATCGGTCCATGTATTCGGTTACTGTTCAAGCGCTTCGGGCTGGTGATGAATACTTTTGAGTAACCATCGAGACTTTTAGATCACTGAGAAATGTGTGAGATAGATGCCGAAAGTGTCTAGGCAGCTCATTAATTTGCTGGCTTTATCGGAAAAAAAAACATTGATTCAATCATCCATTTCGCAGAGTTAAACAAAATAGCAGTTGACCACTAATACATGTGTCAGAAACGCGAAAAGCTTTATGCAGCTTGTCCATGTGAGGATAGCGAGAAAACGCTGCATCCATCGAACCTTGTTTCAGTTACACGAAAACAAACTTAAATTGCTCATACACGTGTCATATTGACTGGAAAATTCTTCAGACCGTCAGTGCATCTGTTAGAGCATCAAAAATATTTCTAAAACTAAAGCGAGCCTCACTCTTGAAGAGATAAGCTTCGGTAATAGAGAAATATTCAAGCGTGTGAACATAAGTTTAACAATTTGACAAGAAATGCTGCTGTATTAGCACATTGTTGTTTTTGATGGTTTAGAAATATCTGCACCATTTTATCATCTCTTAACGTTCAAAAAAGTTGTATCTACGCATTGTCCTATCCTTCATATCACATACATCATAAATATTCACTTCGCTCTCTTATTCATTAATATGTATAAGGGCTCGTGGGAAGGAGCACATAATTTATATAATTGTGTAAATCAAATAATATAATATCTAGAACAAGAGAAGCTTCTCGCGAGATTTTTCTCCTTAATAGTAGTAACGAATAAATCAAAATAAACTGTGTTTCGTTTAATATTGTGGGTATTATTTTACACGTTAGAGTTTTGAATTAAATAATATGTTTAAAGAAAATACGACAATTCTATACTTCAAAGTTTCTTAGAGAATGTCCTGATGGACGTTTTGGTTTTTCAACATTGTGCCTCTTCTGTAACACCATCATATTTATTAGGCTGTATTCCCTACTAATCTGTTCTAAACTATACAATTATAATGCTTTCATATCCATTTAATTTTTCACAGTTGATCGATGAAGAAAATATTTTTGTATAATTTTGGATAAAGAAACAGATGAGGAAGTTCAATCTACGTGACAAAGATACAAGATTGGAGTGAAACTAGAACAACTACTAATTTATCATAACAATGTCTCAAGAAACCTTGAATTATAGAATTATCAATTGTTCTTTCAAAAGATTGCTTAATTTCAAATATCGAACATCTAGCAACATAGGAAGAATGTACAGGAAATAACTTACGAAGTGAATAGGTTTTAATGAAAAAAAAAAGTACGGAAACATGAGAAGAAATCATTAGAAGATAAGAAAAACTGAGAAAAATTCACTTGTTAAAAATCAAGACGAAAACGAAAAACCAGAAGTGTTAAGCTGTTTAAAATTTATGGACTCATCAAAATTGATTTTTCAGGTCTCAGCTATGGGTTTCTGACGATGATATTAGAGATTCAAAAATATCCAAAGCTAAGTTACTCTATGTGTTGAATAATTTTAGATCTATTCAAAGTTCGTACATAGGGTGTATGATCTTTTCTGTTTCTCTTCTACTAATTCCACCAGTATATCTTATAATTTGTGAGCCTATTTCAACGAAACTTTGAAAATGATAATCAACAAAAAGTAGTTGTTTATTAACATCATCCCGTGCAAAATGAAATTAGAAACAGAAAGAAATATGTCTTCATATTAGTTGTACATTTTCTTTATTATTTAAGTCTATGTTACATGAAGACATACAGAAAACATAGTAATTAGCTAAGACGGAAGATAACTAAAAGATTGGTTGAACAAAGTCAATTATAAAATCGACAGATGATCAGTATATATCTTTATACAGAGTTCAAATTACATATTCATACTATGTGAAACTTTTTCATCTACTCGCAAGAGATATGTTAGGAATTTTGCTTCGATAATCATATCACTCGATTACAGTGTGACCATCTTCCAAAATAGTTTTCATGTTTGTCATACGTCATTTACAATAGATAGCATGAAAAAATGTATTTTTCTAGTTGATTTTTTAGGGTTGTAACACTCTCAAAGTTTTTCAAACCTTAAAACTTATAAAACACTGAGTAAAACTGATAAAAATGCAGTTATTTAAAACAATACTACTCGTCTTAATAAGTTCATAGTTTGTTAACACATAGTGTTTTGCCGTCTTGGTTGCTTGGGCGTATTAAAATGTGTAACAATATAGGGGAAAAGCTTTGTACCATGCAACCACGCGTTATGATCAGGTGAAGAGGGACGAAAAACAATGATGATATTTCCTTGTGAGTGCAAATAGCTCTGGATAGCACAACTGTTAATAAGAATGAAGGATAAATGCCGTGTCTCGCATAAAACTCTGGTGAACATAGTCAAAGGCTTTAGGGTTATTTTTGACATCCGTTCTTGCTGGAGAAGTAGCCATTAAGCAAAACTAAGTGTTTAAAAAAACAGTAGAATCTCGTAAGTGAACATTTGTCATAGGCTACATCTTGTTAACAATTTCATCTGCTTAATACATGATCAATTGAAAATAATAGAATAACGCTAGAGAATTTTGACGCCATCATAGCTGATGATGAATATCTAAGTCAAGATCATATATCGGCTTTGTTTCTTATTATCTACGAAGTCGTTTCATCTGTTCCTTACAAACTAAATCATCAAAGTAGATGACATTTTTCTACACTCAGAATATATATTTAGACAATATGATGACTATGCAATAAGTACTGCGATGAAAAAAAATCTAAATTTCGTAGTCTCCATAAATATATAGCATAGTTCTGCTCGAGAAATCGACAATATCAGTATTTTAACAAAAGTCATATTCTGTGATTCTTTTCGAAATCTACAAAGAATAGCTTTATATACGAAATTTTCCATCTGGTGAACATAGAACGTCTTCAAAAGTGAAGCAGTCTTCTTCGAACATATCTTCCGCAAAACTACTTCAGTTCTTCGTATGCCATTTTCAATACAAACAGTCACCCATGGTATATTACTCTAGGGGAAATTATTTGTTTACATGCTTCAGAACAGATGGATTCGTCAGTAACAGATGTCCATATATCACATAAAATCTTTTCTCTTCTTGACATAAAATTAGGGTGTGGATGTGAGTGTGGGATGTGGCTGTGGATGAGCGTGTGGGTCTTCTCTCGCTCTGCACCCCCACCCCACGCGCTCACCCCCACACCTCCACGCCCACTCACAACCACACCCACTCCACCCACATCCACACCCATATCCTCAAGCCACCTTTAAGGCGTGGATAAATCATAGTACGAAATTTCGTATCTGGATGTATCACACAATATCAGATATGTCCTTTTAGATTAATATTAATTTTTAATGGCCACCAACTCTGGAAGTAATACAATTTCCAGACCACACCGCAAGTTGGCATTGGTGATTGGCATTGGTAACTATGAGAGTGGTGAAATATTACGCAATACAATAAATGATGCGCACGAAATGTCATCCAAATTGAACAGCATTGGTTTTATTTCTGATGGGCCACAACTAGATTTGACACATGAAGCTATGGAGCTTGCTCTAGTCAAATTTAAACATTCAATAAGAGAAGGAGATATGGTCTTGTTCTATTTTGCGGGACATGGAACACAGTGGGAGGTATGTGCCACGGACTACGAGTGTCGACTGAGCTTCAATTCGAATACTGGATTGCTTGTAAATCTAAATTGATTTTTACGGTTATGAGATCGACTGATCTTTCTTAATACATTACCAAGAAGTGTTTGACTAACATATTATAGTGTGCGATTTATTGTAAAGGCTTCTCTCTTTTGTTAAATCTTCGTATTTAAGAAATCTTTTGACAGTTTCGTCTTTTAGGATCAAAATTTTCTCATACCAAAAGATGATACTAATATAGAAGCTGCAAATATACACAATCGAGCAATTCTTATACAAAAATTTCTGGACGACTTCGAAGACCGTCATCCATTCACAACAATAATTATCTTGGATTGCTGCAGAATATATCATTTACGCAATCCTCAATTAGTCGCGGCTCTAGCACGTGCAAAGAATGCGAATGTTCCTAGGCCAACTGGCTTAAAACAAATGGATAGCAAAGCCGGAATGTTGATTGCATTTGCCTGTGCTCCTGGAACCATAGCAAACGATGGAACAAACGAATGCAATGGTTTATTTACAAAGCATCTACTAGAACACATTGGCACTCCAAATAAAGATATTCGAATGATAATGGCTGCTGTCACTAGAGGCGTCATGGCCGAGTCAAAATTAAAGCAAAAACCATCTATCACTCTTACATTATGGGATGAATATATATGTTTATTCGAACAAAGCTCAGGTAGATAGTAGCAGAGATAGAACCGGTACCGGTAACCGGCCGGTCCGGTCCAGCCCAGTACTGGTCTGGACAGTTACATATTCGGTCGAAAGGAGGAGATGATACAATGACAGAACGAAAAAGATGCGCTCCTCGTGGGGCTCGAACCCACACCTTCTGCTATCCGGGCAGATGTCCTAAGCCAGTTAGACTAGAAGAGACGATGTTATTTTCTTTTTCGTCTTAGATCGTCATTCTATGTGCACGATCTAACATGGACTTTGGATCGACCGGTCTGACCGGTCCAAATCGGTCTGACCGATCGAAACCGCTTTAAACCGGTCTATATTTTTCACTTTCCCGCTCCATGATGGTAATCATATGAAAAAAACAACTGGCACCAAGACCAATTCTACCAATCACATAGGAATTTATTTAAAAAAAAAAATTTTTCAAAATACCCATCAGTGAGACTATTGTTTTCAACGAGAAAATATTATGTCAGTATACGTGAAAGTACGAAGGTAGCCCTCAAGAGAGTTCACTATGAAACAAGGCTTCATTTCAAGCCTTAGCCTATTGTCTATAGATCGATATTTTGTCGGTAGGTCGGTTTTTCTTTTATAAACTGACGTATCATCAGCAGCCTGTTTAGTACCGGTAGGCTAGTTTTGCCCGGTAGACCGGTTTTTGACGGTCTAGACCGGCCGGTCCGGTCCGGTCTTATTGTTTTGGACCGGTGCCGGTACCGGTCTGAAAAAAACTAGACCGGTTCCATCTCTGGATACTAGCATTATTTGTGGAATCATTGAAAGAAGCATTGCTCTATTTTCACTTACAAAAAAATATTGAGGGAAAGAGACAGTTCGAATTGCAGTCGGAGCTAACTTTAAGATAACTATTTACTATCAAATATTATTGTTGGTATTATGACAACAATTTTAATGGTTATCAAGTGAGAAAAAAAGAATATATATCGTTTCATAGACAGTATTCCGTTGTTATGTAAGAGAACAAGAAGAAATTAAAACAAACTCTGTAAATGATACTATATTGAGGCGAATAGAGTAAATTTTCAGAACTAGGGAGTGGGTGTGGGTATGAATGTGGATGAAGAGAACACCAACACCAATAGTCCGCTCCACCCCACACCCACATTTAACGCGGTGAGAAAAACCAGGAATTTATTCAAAAAATTTTTCATGGGCAATGGCATCATCCGTTGCAAAATTAAATCAATAATGAAAACACTGCACTAAAATGATTATTTGATATTGAAAAGTTGGAGTATGAGTATGGGTGTACCAGGGAACCTAAGTGGCACCCACACCCACACCCACATCCACATCCACACCCACACCCACACTCACACCCACCCACACCCACACCCACACCCACATCCACACCCACACCACCCACACCCACCCACACCCACACCCACACTCACACACCCACACACCCACACCCCACACCCTTCTGGTAGGGCTCAGAAAAATGCTAATTTTTTTGCAAATCCTGATTCAAAATTTTCTTCGATAAAAACTTA